TGAACTCAACCTTCCTCTGCTTTTTTGTTCTATTCAGGCCCTCAACAGACTGGATGATGCTCACCCACTACTTTCTTCGATCTATCAATTCTGGTGCTAATCTTGTCCAGAAACATCCTCAGATGCGCACCCAGAAATAATGTTTGGCTACCTACTTGGACATCCCTTAGCCCAGTCAAGTAGACATATGACTAACCATCACAACCACCATAATAAAAATGTTTTAGTGAATACCCTGAAAAATGAAAAAATGAATAGCCTCAAGCAAAGAATATAGAACATCTTAGCAAAGAAATAGAAGATACAAAGAAGAAGAGCCTCATGGACATTTTAGAACTGAAAAATAAGAATAACAAAAAGCTCATAGATGGCCCAACAGAATGGCGGGAGGTGACAGAGGAAAGAATCAGTAAACTGTAAGACAGACCAACAGAAATAGCCTGAGCTGAACAGACTTAAAAATAAATAAACAGAACCTCAGAAACCAGTGGGACGAAAAAAGGGTAGAACTTGAAATAAAGTACTTGAAATAATGGCTGTAATCTTTCCAAATTTGGCCATAGACATAAGCTAAAAATTCAAGAAGCTGAGGAAAACAAGGAATCTATGCAAAGATAAAACATAATTGAATTTATAAAAACTAAAGAAAAGAAAAAACGGTGAAAGCAATCAGAGAAAAATGACACTTTACCTACAAGGAAAAACAATAGCAGATTTAAAAAAATCAGAAACCAGGAGACGTAGCATATCTTTCAAGTACTGAAAGAAAAGATTTGTTACCCCAGAATTCTATACGCAGTGAAAATATCCTTCAGGAATGAAAAAGAAATCAAGACATTCTCAGATGAAAGAAAACTAAGAATTTTACACCAGCAAACTTATCCTTAAAAGAATGGCTAAACGAAGTTCTCTAAACAGAAAAGGAATGACACAAGAAGGAATATTGGAACATCATGAACAAAGAAATAACATGTAAAGAGAATATAGGTAAATACAATAGGCTTCTCATTTCTTTGGTTTTCTAAAATATTTTACGGTTAAAGCAAAATATCTTGAAAAAAATATTTACTAGTAAGCACGAAAATTATGTTGTAAGTGGGGAAAGAATAAAGAAAGGTAAGGATTCTATATTTTGTTTGTTTGTTTAAATATATTTTTTATTGATATTTTACAGAAAGGAAGGGAGAGAGATATAGAGTCAGAAACATCGATGAGAGAGAAACATCGATCAGCTGCCCCCTACACACCCGCCACTGAGGATGCGCCCGCAACCAAGGTACATGCCCTCGACCGGAATCGAACCTGGGACCCCTGAGTCCACAGGCCGACGCTCTATCCATTGAGCCAAACCGGTCAGGGCAGGATTCTATGTTTTACTTGAACATAAAATAATGACAACACACTGAAAAAATAGATAGATATATAATGGATAAATTATATACAACATACGTATGTAATACATAATACAGATATACTAACGTATATATACATGTATATACATATATAGATAGTATGTATATACTAACGCCTACAACTACTAAAGAAACTATATAAAGGGAGACTCTCAAAAACATAGATAAATCAAAATGAAATTCTAAAATATGTTCATGTAACCTTACAAGAATGAATAAAAAGGGAAGCAAATTAAGACCAGAGAGAACAGAAAACAGAAAGAGAAAAATGACAGACTTAAGACCCAACATATCAGTAACAAAATTATATGTAAATGGTCTAAAACCAAATAAAACAGATTGACAGAGTAAACAAAAAAACAAAACCATAACCCAACTATATGATATCTATAAGAAACTATATAGACAAGTTGAAAGTAAAAGGATAGAAAATATATATCATGCAAACATTAATAAGCGGAAAGCTAGAGAGGCTATATTAATATCAAGTAAACTAAGAAGCCAAGAAACTTATCAGAAAGATAGAGGGACATTTTGATAAAATGGTCAATCCACCAAGAACATATAGAAATCCTAGGTAGGTATGCAGAAAACAAAAGAGCTGGAAAAATTGAGTCAAAAATTGACAGCACGAAAGGAAAAAGAGACAAATCCACAATTAGAATTTGAGACTTCTACATGCCCCTCTGAAAATTGTCAGAGCAACTAGACAGAAAATTAGGAGTAGAACTCTACAACGTCAGTCAACAGAATTCTGATCTACATTTATAAAACATTCCACCCATTAACAGCAGACTAGTCTTTTCAAGTACCCAAAGAACATATACCAAGATTGACCATATCCTGGGGCATGACATAAACCTCAAAAATTTAAAATAATTGAAATCATACAGAATGTGTTCTCCAACCACAATATAATTAAGCTAGAAAGATAAGAGGAAAATCTCCAAACACACTCGGAAACTAAAAAGATCTTTCTAGAAAATCCTTGGATCAAAGACAAAATCTCAAGAGGGAAGGAGGGCTAAGCTTATCAATTTGGCAGGATACAAGATAAACATATAAAGATCAATTCTATATATATTCAGAATTAGCATGTGGAAACCAAAATAAAAAATACAATGTCATTTATAGTCACTAAAAGCAAACAAACTTAGGTGTCAATGTAACAAAATATGTACAGAACTTGTATGTTGGGAACTATAAAATGCTGATTTAGCCCTACCCGGTTTGGCTCAGCGGATAGAGCGTTGGCCTGCAGACTCAAGGGTCCCAGGTTCGATTCCGGTCAAGGGCATGTACCTTGGTTGCAGGCACATCCGCAGTGGGGAGTGTGCAGGAGGCAGCTGATTGATGTTTCTCTGTCATCGATGTTTCTAACTATCCCTCTCCCTTCCTCTCTGTAAAAAAATCAATAAAATATATTTTAAAAATAAATAAAATGCTGATTTAAAGAAATCAAAGATCTATATAGAAGGAACATATTGTGTTCATGAACTGGAAAATTCAACATAGTAAAGATGTCAACTCTTCCCAAATTGATACACAGGTTTAACACAATTTTCTATCAAAATTCCAGCAATATATATATTGCAGGTAAAGATTACTCTAAAAGCTGCATGGGAAGACAACAGGACTGGAATAGCTAAAACAATTTGGAAAAAGATGAATTAGAAAGGAATCAGTCTACTACCTGATTTTAAAACATTATATAGCTCAGTGATCATACTGTGTGGTATTGGCAGAGGAATAGACTCATAGATCGATAGAACAGAACAGAGAACCCAGGAATAAACCCAACAAAAACTTTTGTTGACAAAGGTGCAAAAGCCATTCAATGGAGGAAAGACAGCCTTTGCAACAAATGGTGCTGGAGCAATTAGACATCTACATGAACAGATATGTTCCCAAATGAACTTTAACCTAAGTCTCACACCTTATACAAAAATCAAATCAAAATGGAGCACGGACTTAAATGTAAAATGTTAAACTATAACACTTTTAGGAAAAAACATAGGAGAAAATCTTTGGGATCTCGAGCTAGACAGAGTTCTTAGACCTGACACCAAAAGCCTAACCCCAATATTTAAATTAGTTTCAGATTTCAAAATATTAAATGAAATCCACACCTGTCTAAAATTAAGTTAGGTTTAAGTCACTTCTATAAATAGGTAGATTCTAGAAGTATAAGACGCCATTCTCCAGTGGAGGATAAGAAATAAAGATGTTCAATAAATGTTTGCTGAATGAGGCAATAAGATGACATTCTGGAGAAAATAACTCGTCTATATTCATTCAATCAAACATTTATTGTGCATGTGTTATGTGTCAGGCACTGTGCTCAGTATCAGAGAATATAGTATAAGTAAACATATACAGAATATAAATATACATAACTTTTCACAAGAAGCTCTTTAGTCCCTCTTAAAAGATTAAAATTGGATTCAAGTATCAATGCAAGAAAAAAAATACAGTCATTTAACTTTCAGGTTTTTATTTTTTTAGACAGCTGGATGAGGCATCTATATTCTAGCACATCTTTAGTGAAAGATGACTTACTTATATATAAGGCAAGGGAAAAAAGGTCATGATTGTCCAACAGGGAATCTGAATCCCTAAATAAATTATCTTACAAAAATATCAAACTTGCTTTTCTACTTCTCTACTGTTAAAAATGAAAAAAAAAAATTCACATTAAAAAATTCTTAGGCTGGTATATAGCAAGTTAAGATAATCATTTTACACACTCAGTATGTCCTTCAAATAAATATTTTACACAAATTTAAGTTGTCAAAAATAGGTCAAGTATTTATCCTATATTTGGTCCGCCAAAAGACCATTTATAAACTGACATTAAACTGGACTGCAGTTCATACCTTTAAAATGTTAATATGCATATCACTGTGGCTGGATATGCATATGTACATGTTCTATACATGTGACGTGGCTAACACTGCTGTGCATACTACTTCCACAAGTAGTTTTACCCTGTAAAAGTCCTCTAGCCTATCATGAATCAAACTGTAAGAAAAGAATGAAAGAAAATACATTGCCTATTATAGACATTTGCTCAGTAATTACAAAAACTGAAAAAATTATCATGTTTGGGGGACTTTAAGAATACTGAATATGTTATAAAATTCAATACTGCTTACAAATGCCTGATTATGAAGAACATATTCAACACTTAAGTGAAGAACACACAAGTGAATGTATATTACAGACTCAGGCTTCTATCTGGCCTAGTCCTGTTGTTTTATATTAAAGTCTTACATGGCCCTGGATTCATAAAAGATGGAGATTTAATAAAATAATGATACATTAAGTTTTTCTGTTCTAACAGCCAACTTTTAGAAGTACAGTGGAGCCCTGACTGGTTTGGCTCAGTGGATAGAGCATCAGCCTGCGGACTCAAGGGTCCCCGGTTCGATTCCAGTCAAGGGCATGTACCTTGGTTGCAGGCATATCCCCAGTGGGGGGTATGCAGGAGGCAGCTGATCGATGCTTCACTCTCATCGATGTTTTAAACTCTCTATCCCTTTCCCTTCCTCTCTGTAAAAAAATCAAAATATATTAAAAAATAAAAATAAAAACAAAAGTACAGTGGAAAGGTGTAGGGCTTTCTGTATCTCCTCATATTTTAAAAGCCAATTTGTTTTATTCATTTTATTGTGATGTGACATTTTAATTAACACTATGCTAAAAATAAAAATGCATTACGCTTTTGTCCGTAATATTCAAGTTTCTTATTGCTAAAATATTCCAAAATAAATCCAGTAAACAATTTCCATTTCCAATGGCTTAACTGAGAGATGAATCTAACATGTCTTTTTAAATAAATTACAACTAAACTGGGCTGAGGACAGCTACATTAAAACCCTGCAAACCAAAGCCAATCATCCAAAAGTTTAGAACACCAACACTTTCCATCCAGGATAGAAAAATGAGCATCCAAAGTAAAGAGAACCACAAGATTGATCAAGTACCCAGTCAAAAACCACTTCTCTGTTATTTGAGCTAATAGTTACTCGAAGCTTGAAGTTTCCGCCTTCGTTATTATTGGTGGATCCTAGAGTCACAGCTTCAATGTCAAATGTGACAGTGGACCCAGAAGTAACGGCGGGCAATTGATTAGTCATTTCTTTTCCATTTACAAAAACTGCACCTAAAATGTTAAGGTAAAAAGTCATTTACCTGAGAGCAATAACTAAGAAGTGAAATAGAGTATAGATTATACAGAACACAGCTAATTTCCTAATTCAAATAAAGAAAACATTTTGGAATGCCAACTGGTCAAAGATAATGCATTTAATTAATCCCCATCTTCATGGCGGAAAGGAAAGTTAAAGCTTTCATTACATTTTAGAATTCTGGTCTAGGTAGAGTTCTACCCTTTTAGAACAGACACTATGAATTTCCCATATGGATGGTATCAACAGAAGCTTGACTCCATTATACACTTACATCCTGTGGAACAGCAAGATTGTTTCACATGGAATGAACAAGAATCTCGTTCTACCTGCTGCTTAACCCACACCGCAAAATAGGAACATATCTTGATAGTGACTTTTGAAAGTGTGATTACTGTGAAGTAAGGGACCAAACAACATCAGAGATATATAACAAGTTAAACCCCCTCCCTCGTTCCCTAATCTACGTTTAAGTGAGACGACCCATGCAAGCAGGAGGCAGGGCAGACTCCCTGGACAAGGCCCAGCCCACCCGACTCCAGTCACTTAACCGCCCTGTGGCTCGGCCTTCATCATCTATAAAACGGATGTAATATTACTCCCCACTTCAAAAAGCTGTTAAAGGGATAAATAACATATTTATAAAGGGTACAGAACAATGCCTGGTACACAGTAGCCATTTGGATATGTCATTAAGACCTATATCTTCTCATCTCCTGCTATAAATGTGTGATATTGGGACAGATTCATGTCTTACTATAGTAATTAACATACAGAGATATGTCAAAGGACAGACAGTGACTTCTCTCTTACCGTTTGTACTAATGCACACTGCTTGGTCCCGCTGCAGAGAGTCATATCCATTCTGCCTTTCCGCACACACTCCAATACTGTCTCTTCTGTCTGGTTGGCCCACAGTTTCAACTCTGTAAATGAGGAAGAAAGAACACCCGATTTTTTTTTTCCAAACACGATCTGTAACAGTTATTAAGCTTTAAAGAAATAATCTCACAAAAA